CTTTGCTTGTGCTCAGAGTGTGTGGTGACGTTGTGATCCACCCTTAGCTTGCTTTGCTTTTCTTGACTGGTCTTGTGACCCCTTGTTCTCCCCCACTTTGCCTATGGGGGTGTGTCAAACTTTATATGTGTTAATTCTATGTAGGCTATAGTGGGGTAGCCCATATGGGGTACAACCCAAAGTTAGGATTTGTACTTGTACCCACATTTCATTCAATGCAGTCATTCCTGCATGTTATCTTGACATTGCAACCCATCGATTACGGATCACGCAACATGCAGCCGCCCGAGCGCAACTACTCGGTCCACAACAAAGAAGTGCTGGCCATCTTCTATGCATTTCGTACCTGGCGTTGTTACTTCACGGGAGCTTACGTGACGATCCGAACACAAATCGCTACAGTACATGCGCACGCAACCCGTGACAATTCAGGTGGTTAAACTATCTGAAGACCAATTTTTGCTACACGATCACGCACAAGAATGGCGCCAACAACTTCGCGAACACCTTGTTTCGCCCATCCATGCAGACAACATCAGTTCCCCGCCCGTAACTGCCCGATATTGACAGGACTATTTGCCCACGAGTTTACGACCGACAGTTTTTTCAAGAATCTTCACCGACAGGCTACTACGCAACACGGCAATTATTACCTAAGCCGGTACAAAACGGATTTGGTGCCTACCAGCCCTTATGGGAGTTGTTGATGTAGGAGGTACACGACTTCAACCTTTCCGAGCATTTCGGCATTCTTAAAACACTAAAGCTGCTGCAGCGGAACTACTATTGGCCCGATATGCTGACGGGCGTGCAGCGCTACGTAACAACATGCCCGACCTACCAAGCCATAAAGTCGTCGCGACAATGGCCAGCCGGATTGCTGCAGCCCTTCGAGCCACCTGAACGACCGTGGCAACACGTAACAATGGACCTCGTCACAGGGCTCCCAGCTGGCGCGAGTGGCAACGACTCGGTGCTGGTCGTCGTTGACCGATTAACAAGAATGGCGCATTTCGGACAATGCTGAACGATGATAACAGCCGAAGACATAGTGAAGCTGTTCATCTGCACCGTCGTACGCTTACACAGGTTACCTTCGGCGATCATTAGCGATCAAGACCCGAAACTCACGTCAATGTTCTGGCAGGAGACATGGGCACAGTACGGAACCCGCCTACTGCTTTCGTCGTCTTACCACCCGCAAACCGACGGCGAGACAAAAAGGACAAATCAGACTATGGACCAGCTGATACGCACCAACTGCTCCGACCTTACCAAGTGGGAGGATTCACTCCCGATGCTATTGTTCGCGTATAACAACGCACCCTCAGCAACAACTAAGCAACAATCACTGTTTTACCTGAATTACGTGATAGATTCCGTGGTACCCACATCAACGACCTTTCCCAACCCGGTACCACGATCGCAGGAGTTCGTCACGGAAGTCCAAACGGCCTGCAACAAAGCAGCGGATTTTATATGGCGGGCTAACACTGCTGCCAGTCGCAACGCGAACAAACACCGATGAGACTTACCCTTCCATCAGTGACAAGTGGTTCTTCTGAACACGAAGAATCTTCGCCTGCCCCAACGCGCAAAACTTCGACCACACTATGTGGAGCCATTTCGCATCGTCCAGATGGTGACACACGTCACAACGAAACTACTGTTGCCCGACGATTGGAAAATACATGATGCCTTCCACGTCAGCCTGTTGAGTCATTATGAGCCGCCACAATCGCCTATTGTCGCACGACCCACCATCGCACCTACCGCACGACCTATGGCAGAACCTACGCTCGAGCCATGGAAGATCTTGAACCATCGCGTGGATTTGACGGCTCCCGGACGCAATGTTACCTTCCTACTTCCCTGGAAGGATCGCACGAGTGAGGACGACATGTACGTCGCCCCTGACTCGCTATCAGTGCATCCAATTATGAATGCTGGCTTGGCCCGCCGGGGCGTCCCGGATATACACCACCTGTTTTAAACAGGGAGGTAGTGTAAGGATTTTTTTTTGCGATTTCTTACTGGGTCATACTGTACGCGTACAACTCCAGTTTTTCAGAGAACAGGCTCGGTCCGACGACCTCACCCTTCGAACCACCACCACGTCGCCTTCGGGTTTCTCAACCCCGAACCTGCACCCAACCATCTCGCGACTCTGTGACTTCGGCCTTGCTAGCATCTCTATATTAGTGCTAGGCCTCATTACTTGCTCAGTAATTGTAATCAGTTCCGTGTTATTGCATCCTGCGCACACGTCACGTCTTGTACAACTCATAAAATAACTAGTGATTGAACAAAGTACCATGTTTAGAGGTTTGATTGCTTTCTGGTCAATGAGCGTGTGTTAACGAGGAAGCTGATAAGGGTTAACCGAATCCTCTCTCCTTTCCGCTCTCTTCCTTTGGCAGACTGGCACGAGGTGGCTTGAGGGTTGCAGAGCGATCAGATTTGGTTTGACCCGATCGACGAATTACAACCATGCAACATTCTTGGGGAGCTGTTGGAAGGGAATCTGCCCCTCTGGCCGAAACTGTTTCGTTTGAATTGCCTAGGAGGAGGGAGGCTCCAGCTTGCTCTGTGGCTGGAGCTTCGGGTGCCTACAGGGAAAATGGGTGGTTCGATTCGCGGATGGTAGGGATACTGTAGCTGATGCAATGGGGGACGGGATCTTTGCGGTGAACTCGTTTCTTCGTTGTGCAGATGCATTTTGTCAGAAATCTCAAGCACGTCAATTATTGGACGAAACTCAGCGGTTTGTGTTTCCCTAACATCGTACAGTGAAGATAATCGTGTGGTGAAGATAAGCGACGCTCCGGTCCGCAAGCTTTAGGAAATATCACGGAACCTAAAAGACCGCCTCCTTCAACGTTTCAGGAATCAGTACCCTTCCAGAAAGGCAATGCTGTTTCGTTTCATCCTATGTTTTTACGGCCAGGTCTCGGCGAAGACCACAGCACTCGTAACGACGTATATATGAAGATTGGATGTCTCCTTAGCACCATCGACCACGAGTCGTCCACCCCACGGCGTGAATTCGTTCGAAGCCACGCAACTCCCTCCGTCCCTCGTCAGCCTCATTCAGGCCCATGGCGCGCTATCCGCGTTCACCAGTGGTAGATGAGGGGCTGAATGTGCTCAGAAACGGCCGGGGGAGCGAAGAATGCGCTGTAGTACTGTCACAGTACAGCATGACCCTACGCGGATTACAGAGCAGGTGCGAGTATTGTATGGGGACGCCTTACCCGACCGAGGCCGGTACTTCGCCCTTGCCTTCATTTCAATTCGCTCACCGGTAATTAAGAGCGTACACGGCGCACAGAGACAGATGACGTCAGGGATGACGTTCACGCGGAGGATTCAAGGCCTGCGAACTTTCTCATTGGCCCATCGTCGCACCGCCATTGGTGGCTGCTCTTAGGCTTGGCCAGGAAGGCCAGTCGAACCGACAGGCTCGATGTGCGATATAACAATCTAAGATTCTCGCAGCAGGCCAATACCAAGGTGAATTGAGGCGCAACAGTGCGCCAGGCTGTGCCGCACAGGGTAATGATGGCGGCCATGTCAGGGTAGTACCACTGTACCTTCGATGCTTGACTTCCGCTCTGTGACTGTATCCCATCTCATAGCGCGCCTGAGAGCGAGTTAGTCTGAGACGCCGAATCCCACGGCGGTGCCGATGGCGATAAAGCTGCGGGCTTCAACGCAATCTTTAGCTTATCTGTTCTACCCTCTTCAAGCGTCTAAGCGCCACTCAAGTTTCTTCCGACGCCTACAGGCACCACCGCGCTGGGTGCTTGCAGCTGGCTGAAACACGCATATTGGAATCGCTTTTGATTCTCAATTCTCAACTCGCGCATCATTTCTCAATGTCGACCACCAAGCTTATCCGACCGACCCTCGACGCCTCCTCCCGGCAATCGCCAGCTGTGCTCGCCATGTGTCACACGGACCAGGTTCCTTTCTCGCGACGCGAGCGCGATAGTCACGCGGATCTCGATTTGCTCGCGCTGGAAGGCCGGCTCTCGCTGCTCCACGCGCAGCGCGAACTCAATGCGATCCGCTGCGAACAGTTTGTTACCATGTTACAGTCGTTTCTGAGCGAGGGAGAAAGCTGCGGCGACGATTTGCAAGATGACTGGGAGTCAGGCAGAGGAAGGAGAATGGCGTCTCGATACAGTCACATCCAAGCGGGGCGGGGCGACATCCCTCGCGCGCATTCAGCGCCGCTGGAAGTGGGCGCTCAAAGAGTGCCGCGCAGCCATCGCCGCAGCAGCAGCCAGAGCGGTCGCAGCGCCAGGAGGCAAGCGATGGCCGCGAACCGCCTGACGCGGTGGGCGTCGTGCGAGCAGCGCTGGAACGGCGGCGACGACGAGTGGTGAAGCCGCCTGCGCTGCCCGTGCCTTCCGATCATGTCCCCTATCGCGACGCCGCAGCGCGCGCAGCTGTACATACCTCGCTCCTCACGCCATGCTCGGCGTTTTTTGACAGTTTTTTTCCAGTATGGTTTAGCTGAATGCTGAGAATATTTTTCCACCATCGTGAGCTCGATGATGAGAATATTTTTCCAGCATGGTGTAGCTGAATGCTGAGAATGGCTGTATTTCCGTATTATATGCTTTGATTCTTTGAAACGTCTTATGCTCCATGGGTCAATTGGTGGCAAACCAAAGTTAGGGAGGAACAAGCACTCTTTTTTGCAAAAGTGAAATCAATGTATCCTAGCACCTGAGCATCTAAGCACCATTGCTGGCGCAATCCCCCTCCCTCTACTGTGGAATGGAAACGTGTCACGGCTGCTTTTAGACTCTGTGCCCCACTGCCACCCCTAATCTGCGTGGTGCGGAGAGCAGCCGTTGCAACATTGCCTGACGTCCAAAATTGAGGTACGGTATGTAAAGTTGCGTTGCGTGGCGCACAATCTGAACAGGGCTAATGGCTTCAACCCTCTCCCCTGTACATGCACCATCCACGCCATGGTGTCACACGCGTCAGCTGAGCTCCCCAGTGAAGAAGCTCGCCACATCGGGATTGTCACTCTCCCGCAGCTCCCCCGGCGGCCCCACCTCCACCACGCGGCCCTGGCTGAGCAGTGCGGTGACGTCCGCCACGCGCTCGATCTGCGGCATGCTGTGCGACACCAGCACCACCGTCAGCCCTTCCTCCCTGCGCAGCCGCTCAATCGTCTCCTCCACCTTGCGCGTGGCCGTGGGGTCCAGTGAGCTGGTAGGCTCGTCCAGCAGCAGCACCTGGGGGGGAGATGGTGACGGGAGGGGGGGAGGGGGGGAGGGGGGGGGGGGGGGGGGGGGGGTGCAATGGAGGTGACTTACGAGCCGGCTCGTCCAGCAGCAGCACCTGGGGGGCGTTGGCAAGAGCGTGAGCAGTGGAGGTAAGTTTTGGAAGTTCTCAAAACAACGGCACCAACAAGGGGGCCAGCGAGCTGTTGGGTTCGTCCAGCAGGAGAACGTGGGGCAAGTTGACAAGGGGGCGCATGGGAGTTGGCAAGGCGCGCGTGATGGAGGTGAGCTGTGAGAAATTTCACAACGGCACCTGCATGCAACCACAAGGGGTCCAGCGAGCTGGTGGGTAACAGTCCAGCACCAGCAGCAGCACCTGGGGGGAGTTGGCGAGCGCGCGTGCGATGGACACGCGCTGCGCCTCACCGCCCGACAGCTCGTGGGCGGCGCGGTGCAGGAAGTCGGAGGAGGGGTCAAGCCCCGCGCGCAGCAGCAGGCTCTGCTGCTCCTCCACCCCCACCGCCACGCCCTGCAGCCCCGGCCCGTACCTCATGTTGTCCGCCACCGTGCCTGGACGGGGGGGGATGGGGGGAGAGAGGGGAGGGGAGGGATACATGGGCACGATGGGGGGGTGGAGAGAAGGCGAGAGGGTGGGTTGTGTGGATGCCAAGGTGAGCGACTGACAGTGGTGACGAGCTGGGACGAGGCACGAGGCAGATGAAGGTGTGGGAAAGGCGCGGTGGAGATGAGGGGCTCAACACAACACACATGCAGGCGAGGGGTTGGGGCAAGGGAATGCTGGGGCGGAGGTCAATGGGTGCATGTGGATCAAGTCCCAGAGACTATGGGGTGCGGTGGGGAGGGAAAGAGAGACTATGGGGTGCAGTGGGGAGGGAAAGAGAGACTATGGGGTGCGGTGGGGAGGGAAAGAGAGACGATGGGGTGCGGTGGGGAGGGAAAGAGCGCTATGTGGGTGCGAGGCGAGCAGTGAGGGCGAAGGCACATGCAGAGAGGGGCGTGACGACGAGGATGACAATGAGGGGGAGAGGAGAGGATGACAATGAGGGGGAGAGGAGAGGATGACAATGAGGGGGAGAGGAGAGGACGACAATGAGGGGGAGAGGAGAGGATGACAATGAGGGGGAGAGGAGAGGACGGGAAGGCGAGAGGGGCGTCATGAGAGGAAAGGCTCAGCCGGGTGGGGAGGGGGACAGATGTAGAGTTGGGTGGCGGGGGAAGGGCGGAAGTGGGGTTGGGGGTTGCGAGGCGGGGCGGGGGCTGACCGGGGAAGAGGTGCGGGCTCTGGAACACCATGCCCACGTGCCGTCTCAGCTGCTGCACGTCCATTGTGGTGACGTCACAGCCGTCCACCCACACGGTGCCACGTGTCGGCTCCCACAGGCGGTTGATGGCGCGCAGCAGCGTGGACTTGCCGCTGCCCGAGGGGCCTATCAGCCCGAACAGCTGCCCGCGCGCCACGCGCAGCGCCACGCCGTCCAGAATCAGCGCGCCCGTGCTCGCCGCCCTCCGCGTCAACCCTCGGATCTCTATCTTCGCGGGCGCCGCGGCCTGGAGGGGGGGAGGTGGCGAGGGGGGTGGAGGGGGAGGCGACGAGGAGGAGAAGGGGAGGGGAATGGGGGGGGAGATGGGAGGGAGGGTTGGGGACGGAGGTGGGAGAGGGAGGAATGGAATCAGAGGGGCATGTCAGGAAGGGGAAGGAAATGCGGCGGCGACGAGTGAGAGGGACAGGAGGCCGAGGAGGGCCATGGCCGTAGGTGCTGCCGCTTCAGACTGGAGGGGCGGAAGCATGGGCACGGGTAATCTTTCGCGCGCAAAGCCAAGTCCAACTTCAGCAGTGGGACGCGAGCAAGGGCGACGGAGCAGCTGCCTGCCGACCGTGCGACTACCTCACACCGTGCATGCGATCGCTGACGGCTGTGCGACTGTTGCATTCGCCGCGGCGAGTCGCAGTGCCGTCGCTGGAAGTCGCCTGCGTCGCTCAGCTGCGGACGCCGCGACTCACGGGTACACCATTGCCGCCACCCCAGCTGTCCACCCGCACGCGCGGCGCTCGCGCTGAGGAGGTGCGGCTGCCACTTGGCCGCAGGCACCGGGCTGCGCGCGCCCGCGACGGCGCTGCTCATGTCGAGCTCTGGCCGTGGCGCGCGGAAGCCGTGGGTCACGCAGGTGACTTCTAAAGCCTACTCGACAGTAACGGCGGTGGGAGCCGCTGCGAGGAGTCGAGACGCGAGGGAGCAACGGGCGCGAAGACGGGTGCGGTGGATGGATGGAGGGCGATAGGAGGGAAAGGGAGGGCGGAAAGACCGCGATGAGCGGAGGGGGTGACGTGGCGGAGAGAAAGCGCGCGATGCGGAAAGTGTGCTGCGGATAGCTTCATCACATGACAAGGAGATTTGAGGGAATGGGCGGACATGGGGCCGTTGAAACGAATTGGAATATATATTGCACTGCCTGCGTCAGCAGGCAACAAAGACAGATCAGGAATACCCGTTAAAAGAGGTCCAGATGTTCTATACAGCGTGGTTATTTATTTTCGCATACATATGATTACACAGCTTGAGATTTGAACAAGGGCAGATTCCCGAGTGAATTGCACGCCTCATGCGACTTGAGAAGTCAATTGCGGTTTATAATTACTGGACGGATGATAAATGGCGGAAAATGCATGATATTCATAGTTAGGTGGAACATAGTTAGGGGTGGAAGCGAACACAGCTGCCAGCGACTAGCGAACCACAAGCGGCGCCGCGGCACTGCAGCCGCGATGGATGGAACGCGCCACGCTCGGGTGCGCCTAGCGCCGCCGGGCAGATCGCAGTGTGGCGAAGGCGGCGGCGGGAAGTCAGGCCGCGAGAGCGCGCGCGAGCGGGAGTCGCGCGAGCGGGAGGCGCGGCGGCAGCAGCTGCAGCGGTTGCTGGACGAGGCGCAGAAACCGCTCGCCGCCGCCCTCGCCGTCGCCTGGAAAGGTGCCGCTCCGGCCCGCTTCCCCTCCCCCCTGGCCTCGCGCCGCCTCACCTCGCGCTTCCTCGCCCCGGCGGTAGCGAGTCGCGGGAACGCGTGGGGAGTGAGAGGCATGTCGTGTTGCTGTGCTGCTTGAAGCGTGGGGAGCGAGAGGCATGTCGTGTTGCTGTGCTGCTTGAAGCGTGGGGAGCGAGAGGCATGTCGTGTTGCTGTGCTGCTTGAAGCGTGGGGAGCGAGAGGCATGTCGTGTTGCTGTGCTGCTTGAAGCGTGGGGAGCGAGAGGCATGTCGTGTTGCTGTGCTGCTTGAAGCGTGGGGAGCGAGAGGCATGTCGTGTTGCTGTGCTGCTTGAAGCGTGGGGAGCGAGAGGCATGTCGTGTTGCTGTGCTGCTTGAAGCGTGGGGAGCGAGAGGCATGTCGTGTTGCTGTGCTGCTTGAAGCGTGGGGAGCGAGAGGCATGTCGTGTTGCTGTGCTGCTTGAAGCGTGGGGAGCGAGAGGCATGTCGTGTTGCTGTGCTGCTTGAAGCGTGGGGAGCGAGAGGCATGTCGTGTTGCTGTGCTGCTTGAAGCGTGGGGAGCGAGAGGCATGTCGTGTTGCTGTGCTGCTTGAAGCGTGGGGAGCGAGAGGCATGTCGTGTTGCTGTGCTGCTTGAAGCGTGGGGAGCGAGAGGCATGTCGTGTTGCTGTGCTGCTTGAAGCGTGGGGAGCGAGAGGCATGTCGTGTTGCTGTGCTGCTTGAAGCGTGGGGAGCGAGAGGCATGTCGTGTTGCTGTGCTGCTTGAAGCGTGGGGAGCGAGAGGCATGTCGTGTTGCTGTGCTGCTTGAAGCGTGGGGAGCGAGAGGCATGTCGTGTTGCTGTGCTGCTTGAAGCGTGGGGAGCGAGAGGCATGTCGTGTTGCTGTGCTGCTTGAAGCGTGGGGAGCGAGAGGCATGTCGTGTTGCTGTGCTGCTTGAAGCGTGGGGAGCGAGAGGCATGTCGTGTTGCTGTGCTGCTTGAAGCGTGGGGAGCGAGAGGCATGTCGTGTTGCTGTGCTGCTTGAAGCGTGGGGAGCGAGAGGCATGTCGTGTTGCTGTGCTGCTTGAAGCGTGGGGAGCGAGAGGCATGTCGTGTTGCTGTGCTGCTTGAAGCGTGGGGAGCGAGAGGCATGTCGTGTTGCTGTGCTGCTTGAAGCGTGGGGAGCGAGAGGCATGTCGTGTTGCTGTGCTGCTTGAAGCGTGGGGAGCGAGAGGCATGTCGTGTTGCTGTGCTGCTTGAAGCGTGGGGAGCGAGAGGCATGTCGTGTTGCTGTGCTGCTTGAAGCGTGGGGAGCGAGAGGCATGTCGTGTTGCTGTGCTGCTTGAAGCGTGGGGAGCGAGAGGCATGTCGTGTTGCTGTGCTGCTTGAAGCGTGGGGAGCGAGAGGCATGTCGTGTTGCTGTGCTGCTTGAAGCGTGGGGAGCGAGAGGCATGTCGTGTTGCTGTGCTGCTTGAAGCGTGGGGAGCGAGAGGCATGTCGTGTTGCTGTGCTGCTTGAAGCGTGGGGAGCGAGAGGCATGTCGTGTTGCTGTGCTGCTTGAAGCGTGGGGAGCGAGAGGCATGTCGTGTTGCTGTGCTGCTTGAAGCGTGGGGAGCGAGAGGCATGTCGTGTTGCTGTGCTGCTTGAAGCGTGGGGAGCGAGAGGCATGTCGTGTTGCTGTGCTGCTTGAAGCGTGGGGAGCGAGAGGCATGTCGTGTTGCTGTGCTGCTTGAAGCGTGGGGAGCGAGAGGCATGTCGTGTTGCTGTGCTGCTTGAAGCGTGGGGAGCGAGAGGCATGTCGTGTTGCTGTGCTGCTTGAAGCGTGGGGAGCGAGAGGCATGTCGTGTTGCTGTGCTGCTTGAAGCGTGGGGAGCGAGAGGCATGTCGTGTTGCTGTGCTGCTTGAAGCGTGGGGAGCGAGAGGCATGTCGTGTTGCTGTGCTGCTTGAAGCGTGGGGAGCGAGAGGCATGTCGTGTTGCTGTGCTGCTTGAAGCGTGGGGAGCGAGAGGCATGTCGTGTTGCTGTGCTGCTTGAAGCGTGGGGAGCGAGAGGCATGTCGTGTTGCTGTGCTGCTTGAAGCGTGGGGAGCGAGAGGCATGTCGTGTTGCTGTGCTGCTTGAAGCGTGGGGAGCGAGAGGCATGTCGTGTTGCTGTGCTGCTTGAAGCGTGGGGAGCGAGAGGCATGTCGTGTTGCTGTGCTGCTTGAAGCGTGGGGAGCGAGAGGCATGTCGTGTTGCTGTGCTGCTTGAAGCGTGGGGAGCGAGAGGCATGTCGTGTTGCTGTGCTGCTTGAAGCGTGGGGAGCGAGAGGCATGTCGTGTTGCTGTGCTGCTTGAAGCGTGGGGAGCGAGAGGCATGTCGTGTTGCTGTGCTGCTTGAAGCGTGGGGAGCGAGAGGCATGTCGTGTTGCTGTGCTGCTTGAAGCGTGGGGAGCGAGAGGCATGTCGTGTTGCTGTGCTGCTTGAAGCGTGGGGAGCGAGAGGCATGTCGTGTTGCTGTGCTGCTTGAAGCGTGGGGAGCGAGAGGCATGTCGTGTTGCTGTGCTGCTTGAAGCGTGGGGAGCGAGAGGCATGTCGTGTTGCTGTGCTGCTTGAAGCGTGGGGAGCGAGAGGCATGTCGTGTTGCTGTGCTGCTTGAAGCGTGGGGAGCGAGAGGCATGTCGTGTTGCTGTGCTGCTTGAAGCGTGGGGAGCGAGAGGCATGTCGTGTTGCTGTGCTGCTTGAAGCGTGGGGAGCGAGAGGCATGTCGTGTTGCTGTGCTGCTTGAAGCGTGGGGAGCGAGAGGCATGTCGTGTTGCTGTGCTGCTTGAAGCGTGGGGAGCGAGAGGCATGTCGTGTTGCTGTGCTGCTTGAAGCGTGGGGAGCGAGAGGCATGTCGTGTTGCTGTGCTGCTTGAAGCGTGGGGAGCGAGAGGCATGTCGTGTTGCTGTGCTGCTTGAAGCGTGGGGAGCGAGAGGCATGTCGTGTTGCTGTGCTGCTTGAAGCGTGGGGAGCGAGAGGCATGTCGTGTTGCTGTGCTGCTTGAAGCGTGGGGAGCGAGAGGCATGTCGTGTTGCTGTGCTGCTTGAAGCGTGGGGAGCGAGAGGCATGTCGTGTTGCTGTGCTGCTTGAAGCGTGGGGAGCGAGAGGCATGTCGTGTTGCTGTGCTGCTTGAAGCGTGGGGAGCGAGAGGCATGTCGTGTTGCTGTGCTGCTTGAAGCGTGGGGAGCGAGAGGCATGTCGTGTTGCTGTGCTGCTTGAAGCGTGGGGAGCGAGAGGCATGTCGTGTTGCTGTGCTGCTTGAAGCGTGGGGAGCGAGAGGCATGTCGTGTTGCTGTGCTGCTTGAAGCGTGGGGAGCGAGAGGCATGTCGTGTTGCTGTGCTGCTTGAAGCGTGGGGAGCGAGAGGCATGTCGTGTTGCTGTGCTGCTTGAAGCGTGGGGAGCGAGAGGCATGTCGTGTTGCTGTGCTGCTTGAAGCGTGGGGAGCGAGAGGCATGTCGTGTTGCTGTGCTGCTTGAAGCGTGGGGAGCGAGAGGCATGTCGTGTTGCTGTGCTGCTTGAAGCGTGGGGAGCGAGAGGCATGTCGTGTTGCTGTGCTGCTTGAAGCGTGGGGAGCGAGAGGCATGTCGTGTTGCTGTGCTGCTTGAAGCGTGGGGAGCGAGAGGCATGTCGTGTTGCTGTGCTGCTTGAAGCGTGGGGAGCGAGAGGCATGTCGTGTTGCTGTGCTGCTTGAAGCGTGGGGAGCGAGAGGCATGTCGTGTTGCTGTGCTGCTTGAAGCGTGGGGAGCGAGAGGCATGTCGTGTTGCTGTGCTGCTTGAAGCGTGGGGAGCGAGAGGCATGTCGTGTTGCTGTGCTGCTTGAAGCGTGGGGAGCGAGAGGCATGTCGTGTTGCTGTGCTGCTTGAAGCGTGGGGAGCGAGAGGCATGTCGTGTTGCTGTGCTGCTTGAAGCGTGGGGAGCGAGAGGCATGTCGTGTTGCTGTGCTGCTTGAAGCGTGGGGAGCGAGAGGCATGTCGTGTTGCTGTGCTGCTTGAAGCGTGGGGAGCGAGAGGCATGTCGTGTTGCTGTGCTGCTTGAAGCGTGGGGAGCGAGAGGCATGTCGTGTTGCTGTGCTGCTTGAAGCGTGGGGAGCGAGAGGCATGTCGTGTTGCTGTGCTGCTTGAAGCGTGGGGAGCGAGAGGCATGTCGTGTTGCTGTGCTGCTTGAAGCGTGGGGAGCGAGAGGCATGTCGTGTTGCTGTGCTGCTTGAAGCGTGGGGAGCGAGAGGCATGTCGTGTTGCTGTGCTGCTTGAAGCGTGGGGAGCGAGAGGCATGTCGTGTTGCTGTGCTGCTTGAAGCGTGGGGAGCGAGAGGCATGTCGTGTTGCTGTGCTGCTTGAAGCGTGGGGAGCGAGAGGCATGTCGTGTTGCTGTGCTGCTTGAAGCGTGGGGAGCGAGAGGCATGTCGTGTTGCTGTGCTGCTTGAAGCGTGGGGAGCGAGAGGCATGTCGTGTTGCTGTGCTGCTTGAAGCGTGGGGAGCGAGAGGCATGTCGTGTTGCTGTGCTGCTTGAAGCGTGGGGAGCGAGAGGCATGTCGTGTTGCTGTGCTGCTTGAAGCGTGGGGAGCGAGAGGCATGTCGTGTTGCTGTGCTGCTTGAAGCGTGGGGAGCGAGAGGCATGTCGTGTTGCTGTGCTGCTTGAAGCGTGGGGAGCGAGAGGCATGTCGTGTTGCTGTGCTGCTTGAAGCGTGGGGAGCGAGAGGCATGTCGTGTTGCTGTGCTGCTTGAAGCGTGGGGAGCGAGAGGCATGTCGTGTTGCTGTGCTGCTTGAAGCGTGGGGAGCGAGAGGCATGTCGTGTTGCTGTGCTGCTTGAAGCGTGGGGAGCGAGAGGCATGTCGTGTTGCTGTGCTGCTTGAAGCGTGGGGAGCGAGAGGCATGTCGTGTTGCTGTGCTGCTTGAAGCGTGGGGAGCGAGAGGCATGTCGTGTTGCTGTGCTGCTTGAAGCGTGGGGAGCGAGAGGCATGTCGTGTTGCTGTGCTGCTTGAAGCGTGGGGAGCGAGAGGCATGTCGTGTTGCTGTGCTGCTTGAAGCGTGGGGAGCGAGAGGCATGTCGTGTTGCTGTGCTGCTTGAAGCGTGGGGAGCGAGAGGCATGTCGTGTTGCTGTGCTGCTTGAAGCGTGGGGAGCGAGAGGCATGTCGTGTTGCTGTGCTGCTTGAAGCGTGGGGAGCGAGAGGCATGTCGTGTTGCTGTGCTGCTTGAAGCGTGGGGAGCGAGAGGCATGTCGTGTTGCTGTGCTGCTTGAAGCGTGGGGAGCGAGAGGCATGTCGTGTTGCTGTGCTGCTTGAAGCGTGGGGAGCGAGAGGCATGTCGTGTTGCTGTGCTGCTTGAAGCGTGGGGAGCGAGAGGCATGTCGTGTTGCTGTGCTGCTTGAAGCGTGGGGAGCGAGAGGCATGTCGTGTTGCTGTGCTGCTTGAAGCGTGGGGAGCGAGAGGCATGTCGTGTTGCTGTGCTGCTTGAAGCGTGGGGAGCGAGAGGCATGTCGTGTTGCTGTGCTGCTTGAAGCGTGGGGAGCGAGAGGCATGTCGTGTTGCTGTGCTGCTTGAAGCGTGGGGAGCGAGAGGCATGTCGTGTTGCTGTGCTGCTTGAAGCGTGGGGAGCGAGAGGCATGTCGTGTTGCTGTGCTGCTTGAAGCGTGGGGAGCGAGAGGCATGTCGTGTTGCTGTGCTGCTTGAAGCGTGGGGAGCGAGAGGCATGTCGTGTTGCTGTGCTGCTTGAAGCGTGGGGAGCGAGAGGCATGTCGTGTTGCTGTGCTGCTTGAAGCGTGGGGAGCGAGAGGCATGTCGTGTTGCTGTGCTGCTTGAAGCGTGGGGAGCGAGAGGCATGTCGTGTTGCTGTGCTGCTTGAAGCGTGGGGAGCGAGAGGCATGTCGTGTTGCTGTGCTGCTTGAAGCGTGGGGAGCGAGAGGCATGTCGTGTTGCTGTGCTGCTTGAAGCGTGGGGAGCGAGAGGCATGTCGTGTTGCTGTGCTGCTTGAAGCGTGGGGAGCGAGAGGCATGTCGTGTTGCTGTGCTGCTTGAAGCGTGGGGAGCGAGAGGCATGTCGTGTTGCTGTGCTGCTTGAAGCGTGGGGAGCGAGAGGCATGTCGTGTTGCTGTGCTGCTTGAAGCGTGGGGAGCGAGAGGCATGTCGTGTTGCTGTGCTGCTTGAAGCGTGGGGAGCGAGAGGCATGTCGTGTTGCTGTGCTGCTTGAAGCGTGGGGAGCGAGAGGCATGTCGTGTTGCTGTGCTGCTTGAAGCGTGGGGAGCGAGAGGCATGTCGTGTTGCTGTGCTGCTTGAAGCGTGGGGAGCGAGAGGCATGTCGTGTTGCTGTGCTGCTTGAAGCGTGGGGAGCGAGAGGCATGTCGTGTTGCTGTGCTGCTTGAAGCGTGGGGAGCGAGAGGCATGTCGTGTTGCTGTGCTGCTTGAAGCGTGGGGAGCGAGAGGCATGTCGTGTTGCTGTGCTGCTTGAAGCGTGGGGAGCGAGAGGCATGTCGTGTTGCTGTGCTGCTTGAAGCGTGGGGAGCGAGAGGCATGTCGTGTTGCTGTGCTGCTTGAAGCGTGGGGAGCGAGAGGCATGTCGTGTTGCTGTGCTGCTTGAAGCGTGGGGAGCGAGAGGCATGTCGTGTTGCTGTGCTGCTTGAAGCGTGGGGAGCGAGAGGCATGTCGTGTTGCTGTGCTGCTTGAAGCGTGGGGAGCGAGAGGCATGTCGTGTTGCTGTGCTGCTTGAAGCGTGGGGAGCGAGAGGCATGTCGTGTTGCTGTGCTGCTTGAAGCGTGGGGAGCGAGAGGCATGTCGTGTTGCTGTGCTGCTTGAAGCGTGGGGAGCGAGAGGCATGTCGTGTTGCTGTGCTGCTTGAAGCGTGGGGAGCGAGAGGCATGTCGTGTTGCTGTGCTGCTTGAAGCGTGGGGAGCGAGAGGCATGTCGTGTTGCTGTGCTGCTTGAAGCGTGGGGAGCGAGAGGCATGTCGTGTTGCTGTGCTGCTTGAAGCGTGGGGAGCGAGAGGCATGTCGTGTTGCTGTGCTGCTTGAAGCGTGGGGAGCGAGAGGCATGTCGTGTTGCTGTGCTGCTTGAAGCGTGGGGAGCGAGAGGCATGTCGTGTTGCTGTGCTGCTTGAAGCGTGGGGAGCGAGAGGCATGTCGTGTTGCTGTGCTGCTTGAAGCGTGGGGAGCGAGAGGCATGTCGTGTTGCTGTGCTGCTTGAAGCGTGGGGAGCGAGAGGCATGTCGTGTTGCTGTGCTGCTTGAAGCGTGGGGAGCGAGAGGCATGTCGTGTTGCTGTGCTGCTTGAAGCGTGGGGAGCGAGAGGCATGTCGTGTTGCTGTGCTGCTTGAAGCGTGGGGAGCGAGAGGCATGTCGTGTTGCTGTGCTGCTTGAAGCGTGGGGAGCGAGAGGCATGTCGTGTTGCTGTGCTGCTTGAAGCGTGGGGAGCGAGAGGCATGTCGTGTTGCTGTGCTGCTTGAAGCGTGGGGAGCGAGAGGCATGTCGTGTTGCTGTGCTGCTTGAAGCGTGGGGAGCGAGAGGCATGTCGTGTTGCTGTGCTGCTTGAAGCGTGGGGAGCGAGAGGCATGTCGTGTTGCTGTGCTGCTTGAAGCGTGGGGAGCGAGAGGCATGTCGTGTTGCTGTGCTGCTTGAAGCGTGGGGAGCGAGAGGCATGTCGTGTTGCTGTGCTGCTTGAAGCGTGGGGAGCGAGAGGCATGTCGTGTTGCTGTGCTGCTTGAAGCGTGGGGAGCGAGAGGCATGTCGTGTTGCTGTGCTGCTTGAAGCGTGGGGAGCGAGAGGCATGTCGTGTTGCTGTGCTGCTTGAAGCGTGGGGAGCGAGAGGCATGTCGTGTTGCTGTGCTGCTTGAAGCGTGGGGAGCGAGAGGCATGTCGTGTTGCTGTGCTGCTTGAAGCGTGGGGAGCGAGAGGCATGTCGTGTTGCTGTGCTGCTTGAAGCGTGGGGAGCGAGAGGCATGTCGTGTTGCTGTGCTGCTTGAAGCGTGGGGAGCGAGAGGCATGTCGTGTTGCTGTGCTGCTTGAAGCGTGGGGAGCGAGAGGCATGTCGTGTTGCTGTGCTGCTTGAAGCGTGGGGAGCGAGAGGCATGTCGTGTTGCTGTGCTGCTTGAAGCGTGGGGAGCGAGAGGCATGTCGTGTTGCTGTGCTGCTTGAAGCGTGGGGAGCGAGAGGCATGTCGTGTTGCTGTGCTGCTTGAAGCGTGGGGAGCGAGAGGCATGTCGTGTTGCTGTGCTGCTTGAAGCGTGGGGAGCGAGAGGCATGTCGTGTTGCTGTGCTGCTTGAAGCGTGGGGAGCGAGAGGCATGTCGTGTTGCTGTGCTGCTTGAAGCGTGGGGAGCGAGAGGCATGTCGTGTTGCTGTGCTGCTTGAAGCGTGGGGAGCGAGAGGCATGTCGTGTTGCTGTGCTGCTTGAAGCGTGGGGAGCGAGAGGCATGTCGTGTTGCTGTGCTGCTTGAAGCGTGGGGAGCGAGAGGCATGTCGTGTTGCTGTGCTGCTTGAAGCGTGGGGAGCGAGAGGCATGTCGTGTTGCTGTGCTGCTTGAAGCGTGGGGAGCGAGAGGCATGTCGTGTTGCTGTGCTGCTTGAAGCGTGGGGAGCGAGAGGCATGTCGTGTTGCTGTGCTGCTTGAAGCGTGGGGAGCGAGAGGCATGTCGTGTTGCTGTGCTGCTTGAAGCGTGGGGAGCGAGAGGCATGTCGTGTTGCTGTGCTGCTTGAAGCGTGGGGAGCGAGAGGCATGTCGTGTTGCTGTGCTGCTTGAAGCGTGGGGAGCGAGAGGCATGTCGTGTTGCTGTGCTGCTTGAAGCGTGGGGAGCGAGAGGCATGTCGTGTTGCTGTGCTGCTTGAAGCGTGGGGAGCGAGAGGCATGTCGTGTTGCTGTGCTGCTTGAAGCGTGGGGAGCGAGAGGCATGTCGTGTTGCTGTGCTGCTTGAAGCGTGGGGAGCGAGAGGCATGTCGTGTTGCTGTGCTGCTTGAAGCGTGGGGAGCGAGAGGCATGTCGTGTTGCTGTGCTGCTTGAAGCGTGGGGAGCGAGAGGCATGTCGTGTTGCTGTGCTGCTTGAAGCGTGGGGAGCGAGAGGCATGTCGTGTTGCTGTGCTGCTTGAAGCGTGGGGAGCGAGAGGCATGTCGTGTTGCTGTGCTGCTTGAAGCGTGGGGAGCGAGAGGCATGTCGTGTTGCTGTGCTGCTTGAAGCGTGGGGAGCGAGAGGCATGTCGTGTTGCTGTGCTGCTTGAAGCGTGGGGAGCGAGAGGCATGTCGTGTTGCTGTGCTGCTTGAAGCGTGGGGAGCGAGAGGCATGTCGTGTTGCTGTGCTGCTTGAAGCGTGGGGAGCGAGAGGCATGTCGTGTTGCTGTGCTGCTTGAAGCGTGGGGAGCGAGAGGCATGTCGTGTTGCTGTGCTGCTTGAAGCGTGGGGAGCGAGAGGCATGTCGTGTTGCTGTGCTGCTTGAAGCGTGGGGAGCGAGAGGCATGTCGTGTTGCTGTGCTGCTTGAAGCGTGGGGAGCGAGAGGCATGTCGTGTTGCTGTGCTGCTTGAAGCGTGGGGAGCGAGAGGCATGTCGTGTTGCTGTGCTGCTTGAAGCGTGGGGAGCGAGAGGCATGTCGTGTTGCTGTGCTGCTTGAAGCGTGGGGAGCGAGAGGCATGTCGTGTTGCTGTGCTGCTTGAAGCGTGGGGAGCGAGAGGCATGTCGTGTTGCTGTGCTGCTTGAAGCGTGGGGAGCGAGAGGCATGTCGTGTTGCTGTGCTGCTTGAAGCGTGGGGAGCGAGAGGCATGTCGTGTTGCTGTGCTGCTTGAAGCGTGGGGAGCGAGAGGCATGTCGTGTTGCTGTGCTGCTTGAAGCGTGGGGAGCGAGAGGCATGTCGTGTTGCTGTGCTGCTTGAAGCGTGGGGAGCGAGAGGCATGTCGTGTTGCTGTGCTGCTTGAAGCGTGGGGAGCGAGAGGCATGTCGTGTTGCTGTGCTGCTTGAAGCGTGGGGAGCGAGAGGCATGTCGTGTTGCTGTGCTGCTTGAAGCGTGGGGAGCGAGAGGCATGTCGTGTTGCTGTGCTGCTTGAAGCGTGGGGAGCGAGAGGCATGTCGTGTTGCTGTGCTGCTTGAAGCGTGGGGAGCGAGAGGCATGTCGTGTTGCTGTGCTGCTTGAAGCGTGGGGAGCGAGAGGCATGTCGTGTTGCTGTGCTGCTTGAAGCGTGGGGAGCGAGAGGCATGTCGTGTTGCTGTGCTGCTTGAAGCGTGGGGAGCGAGAGGCATGTCGTGTTGCTGTGCTGCTTGAAGCGTGGGGAGCGAGAGGCATGTCGTGTTGCTGTGCTGCTTGAAGCGTGGGGAGCGAGAGGCATGTCGTGTTGCTGTGCTGCTTGAAGCGTGGGGAGCGAGAGGCATGTCGTGTTGCTGTGCTGCTTGAAGCGTGGGGAGCGAGAGGCATGTCGTGTTGCTGTGCTGCTTGAAGCGTGGGGAGCGAGAGGCATGTCGTGTTGCTGTGCTGCTTGAAGCGTGGGGAGCGAGAGGCATGTCGTGTTGCTGTGCTGCTTGAAGCGTGGGGAGCGAGAGGCATGTCGTGTTGCTGTGCTGCTTGAAGCGTGGGGAGCGAGAGGCATGTCGTGTTGCTGTGCTGCTTGAAGCGTGGGGAGCGAGAGGCATGTCGTGTTGCTGTGCTGCTTGAAGCGTGGGGAGCGAGAGGCATGTCGTGTTGCTGTGCTGCTTGAAGCGTGGGGAGCGAGAGGCATGTCGTGTTGCTGTGCTGCTTGAAGCGTGGGGAGCGAGAGGCATGTCGTGTTGCTGTGCTGCTTGAAGCGTGGGGAGCGAGAGGCATGTCGTGTTGCTGTGCTGCTTGAAGCGTGGGGAGCGAGAGGCATGTCGTGTTGCTGTGCTGCTTGAAGCGTGGGGAGCGAGAGGCATGTCGTGTTGCTGTGCTGCTTGAAGCGTGGGGAGCGAGAGGCATGTCGTGTTGCTGTGCTGCTTGAAGCGTGGGGAGCGAGAGGCATGTCGTGTTGCTGTGCTGCTTGAAGCGTGGGGAGCGAGAGGCATGTCGTGTTGCTGTGCTGCTTGAAGCGTGGGGAGCGAGAGGCATGTCGTGTTGCTGTGCTGCTTGAAGCGTGGGGAGCGAGAGGCATGTCGTGTTGCTGTGCTGCTTGAAGCGTGGGGAGCGAGAGGCATGTCGTGTTGCTGTGCTGCTTGAAGCGTGGGGAGCGAGAGGCATGTCGTGTTGCTGTGCTGCTTGAAGCGTGGGGAGCGAGAGGCATGTCGTGTTGCTGTGCTGCTTGAAGCGTGGGGAGCGAGAGGCATGTCGTGTTGCTGTGCTGCTTGAAGCGTGGGGAGCGAGAGGCATGTCGTGTTGCTGTGCTGCTTGAAGCGTGGGGAGCGAGAGGCATGTCGTGTTGCTGTGCTGCTTGAAGCGTGGGGAGCGAGAGGCATGTCGTGTTGCTGTGCTGCTTGAAGCGTGGGGAGCGAGAGGCATGTCGTGTTGCTGTGCTGCTTGAAGCGTGGGGAGCGAGAGGCATGTCGTGTTGCTGTGCTGCTTGAAGCGTGGGGAGCGAGAGGCATGTCGTGTTGCTGTGCTGCTTGAAGCGTGGGGAGCGAGAGGCATGTCGTGTTGCTGTGCTGCTTGAAGCGTGGGGAGCGAGAGGCATGTCGTGTTGCTGTGCTGCTTGAAGCGTGGGGAGCGAGAGGCATGTCGTGTTGCTGTGCTGCTTGAAGCGTGGGGAGCGAGAGGCATGTCGTGTTGCTGTGCTGCTTGAAGCGTGGGGAGCGAGAGGCATGTCGTGTTGCTGTGCTGCTTGAAGCGTGGGGAGCGAGAGGCATGTCGTGTTGCTGTGCTGCTTGAAGCGTGGGGAGCGAGAGGCATGTCGTGTTGCTGTGCTGCTTGAAGCGTGGGGAGCGAGAGGCATGTCGTGTTGCTGTGCTGCTTGAAGCGTGGGGAGCGAGAGGCATGTCGTGTTGCTGTGCTGCTTGAAGCGTGGGGAGCGAGAGGCATGTCGTGTTGCTGTGCTGCTTGAAGCGTGGGGAGCGAGAGGCATGTCGTGTTGCTGTGCTGCTTGAAGCGTGGGGAGCGAGAGGCATGTCGTGTTGCTGTGCTGCTTGAAGCGTGGGGAGCGAGAGGCATGTCGTGTTGCTGTGCTGCTTGAAGCGTGGGGAGCGAGAGGCATGTCGTGTTGCTGTGCTGCTTGAAGCGTGGGGAGCGAGAGGCATGTCGTGTTGCTGTGCTGCTTGAAGCGTGGGGAGCGAGAGGCATGTCGTGTTGCTGTGCTGCTTGAAGCGTGGGGAGCGAGAGGCATGTCGTGTTGCTGTGCTGCTTGAAGCGTGGGGAGCGAGAGGCATGTCGTGTTGCTGTGCTGCTTGAAGCGTGGGGAGCGAGAGGCATGTCGTGTTGCTGTGCTGCTTGAAGCGTGGGGAGCGAGAGGCATGTCGTGTTGCTGTGCTGCTTGAAGCGTGGGGAGCGAGAGGCATGTCGTGTTGCTGTGCTGCTTGAAGCGTGGGGAGCGAGAGGCATGTCGTGTTGCTGTGCTGCTTGAAGCGTGGGGAGCGAGAGGCATGTCGTGTTGCTGTGCTGCTTGAAGCGTGGGGAGCGAGAGGCATGTCGTGTTGCTGTGCTGCTTGAAGCGTGGGGAGCGAGAGGCATGTCGTGTTGCTGTGCTGCTTGAAGCGTGGGGAGCGAGAGGCATGTCGTGTTGCTGTGCTGCTTGAAGCGTGGGGAGCGAGAGGCATGTCGTGTTGCTGTGCTGCTTGAAGCGTGGGGAGCGAGAGGCATGTCGTGTTGCTGTGCTGCTTGAAGCGTGGGGAGCGAGAGGCATGTCGTGTTGCTGTGCTGCTTGAAGCGTGGGGAGCGAGAGGCATGTCGTGTTGCTGTGCTGCTTGAAGCGTGGGGAGCGAGAGGCATGTCGTGTTGCTGTGCTGCTTGAAGCGTGGGGAGCGAGAGGCATGTCGTGTTGCTGTGCTGCTTGAAGCGTGGGGAGCGAGAGGCATGTCGTGTTGCTGTGCTGCTTGAAGCGTGGGGAGCGAGAGGCATGTCGTGTTGCTGTGCTGCTTGAAGCGTGGGGAGCGAGAGGCATGTCGTGTTGCTGTGCTGCTTGAAGCGTGGGGAGCGAGAGGCATGTCGTGTTGCTGTGCTGCTTGAAGCGTGGGGAGCGAGAGGCATGTCGTGTTGCTGTGCTGCTTGAAGCGTGGGGAGCGAGAGGCATGTCGTGTTGCTGTGCTGCTTGAAGCGTGGGGAGCGAGAGGCATGTCGTGTTGCTGTGCTGCTTGAAGCGTGGGGAGCGAGAGGCATGTCGTGTTGCTGTGCTGCTTGAAGCGTGGGGAGCGAGAGGCATGTCGTGTTGCTGTGCTGCTTGAAGCGTGGGGAGCGAGAGGCATGTCGTGTTGCTGTGCTGCTTGAAGCGTGGGGAGCGAGAGGCATGTCGTGTTGCTGTGCTGCTTGAAGCGTGGGGAGCGAGAGGCATGTCGTGTTGCTGTGCTGCTTGAAGCGTGGGGAGCGAGAGGCATGTCGTGTTGCTGTGCTGCTTGAAGCGTGGGGAGCGAGAGGCATGTCGTGTTGCTGTGCTGCTTGAAGCGTGGGGAGCGAGAGGCATGTCGTGTTGCTGTGCTGCTTGAAGCGTGGGGAGCGAGAGGCATGTCGTGTTGCTGTGCTGCTTGAAGCGTGGGGAGCGAGAGGCATGTCGTGTTGCTGTGCTGCTTGAAGCGTGGGGAGCGAGAGGCATGTCGTGTTGCTGTGCTGCTTGAAGCGTGGGGAGCGAGAGGCATGTCGTGTTGCTGTGCTGCTTGAAGCGTGGGGAGCGAGAGGCATGTCGTGTTGCTGTGCTGCTTGAAGCGTGGGGAGCGAGAGGCATGTCGTGTTGCTGTGCTGCTTGAAGCGTGGGGAGCGAGAGGCATGTCGTGTTGCTGTGCTGCTTGAAGCGTGGGGAGCGAGAGGCATGTCGTGTTGCTGTGCTGCTTGAAGCGTGGGGAGCGAGAGGCATGTCGTGTTGCTGTGCTGCTTGAAGCGTGGGGAGCGAGAGGCATGTCGTGTTGCTGTGCTGCTTGAAGCGTGGGGAGCGAGAGGCATGTCGTGTTGCTGTGCTGCTTGAAGCGTGGGGAGCGAGAGGCATGTCGTGTTGCTGTGCTGCTTGAAGCGTGGGGAGCGAGAGGCATGTCGTGTTGCTGTGCTGCTTGAAGCGTGGGGAGCGAGAGGCATGTCGTGTTGCTGTGCTGCTTGAAGCGTGGGGAGCGAGAGGCATGTCGTGTTGCTGTGCTGCTTGAAGCGTGGGGAGCGAGAGGCATGTCGTGTTGCTGTGCTGCTTGAAGCGTGGGGAGCGAGAGGCATGTCGTGTTGCTGTGCTGCTTGAAGCGTGGGGAGCGAGAGGCATGTCGTGTTGCTGTGCTGCTTGAAGCGTGGGGAGCGAGAGGCATGTCGTGTTGCTGTGCTGCTTGAAGCGTGGGGAGCGAGAGGCATGTCGTGTTGCTGTGCTGCTTGAAGCGTGGGGAGCGAGAGGCATGTCGTGTTGCTGTGCTGCTTGAAGCGTGGGGAGCGAGAGGCATGTCGTGTTGCTGTGCTGCTTGAAGCGTGGGGAGCGAGAGGCATGTCGTGTTGCTGTGCTGCTTGAAGCGTGGGGAGCGAGAGGCATGTCGTGTTGCTGTGCTGCTTGAAGCGTGGGGAGCGAGAGGCATGTCGTGTTGCTGTGCTGCTTGAAGCGTGGGGAGCGAGAGGCATGTCGTGTTGCTGTGCTGCTTGAAGCGTGGGGAGCGAGAGGCATGTCGTGTTGCTGTGCTGCTTGAAGCGTGGGGAGCGAGAGGCATGTCGTGTTGCTGTGCTGCTTGAAGCGTGGGGAGCGAGAGGCATGTCGTGTTGCTGTGCTGCTTGAAGCGTGGGGAGCGAGAGGCATGTCGTGTTGCTGTGCTGCTTGAAGCGTGGGGAGCGAGAGGCATGTCGTGTTGCTGTGCTGCTTGAAGCGTGGGGAGCGAGAGGCATGTCGTGTTGCTGTGCTGCTTGAAGCGTGGGGAGCGAGAGGCATGTCGTGTTGCTGTGCTGCTTGAAGCGTGGGGAGCGAGAGGCATGTCGTGTTGCTGTGCTGCTTGAAGCGTGGGGAGCGAGAGGCATGTCGTGTTGCTGTGCTGCTTGAAGCGTGGGGAGCGAGAGGCATGTCGTGTTGCTGTGCTGCTTGAAGCGTGGGGAGCGAGAGGCATGTCGTGTTGCTGTGCTGCTTGAAGCGTGGGGAGCGAGAGGCATGTCGTGTTGCTGTGCTGCTTGAAGCGTGGGGAGCGAGAGGCATGTCGTGTTGCTGTGCTGCTTGAAGCGTGGGGAGCGAGAGGCATGTCGTGTTGCTGTGCTGCTTGAAGCGTGGGGAGCGAGAGGCATGTCGTGTTGCTGTGCTGCTTGAAGCGTGGGGAGCGAGAGGCATGTCGTGTTGCTGTGCTGCTTGAAGCGTGGGGAGCGAGAGGCATGTCGTGTTGCTGTGCTGCTTGAAGCGTGGGGAGCGAGAGGCATGTCGTGTTGCTGTGCTGCTTGAAGCGTGGGGAGCGAGAGGCATGTCGTGTTGCTGTGCTGCTTGAAGCGTGGGGAGCGAGAGGCATGTCGTGTTGCTGTGCTGCTTGAAGCGTGGGGAGCGAGAGGCATGTCGTGTTGCTGTGCTGCTTGAAGCGTGGGGAGCGAGAGGCATGTCGTGTTGCTGTGCTGCTTGAAGCGTGGGGAGCGAGAGGCATGTCGTGTTGCTGTGCTGCTTGAAGCGTGGGGAGCGAGAGGCATGTCGTGTTGCTGTGCTGCTTGAAGCGTGGGGAGCGAGAGGCATGTCGTGTTGCTGTGCTGCTTGAAGCGTGGGGAGCGAGAGGCATGTCGTGTTGCTGTGCTGCTTGAAGCGTGGGGAGCGAGAGGCATGTCGTGTTGCTGTGCTGCTTGAAGCGTGGGGAGCGAGAGGCATGTCGTGTTGCTGTGCTGCTTGAAGCGTGGGGAGCGAGAGGCATGTCGTGTTGCTGTGCTGCTTGAAGCGTGGGGAGCGAGAGGCATGTCGTGTTGCTGTGCTGCTTGAAGCGTGGGGAGCGAGAGGCATGTCGTGTTGCTGTGCTGCTTGAAGCGTGGGGAGCGAGAGGCATGTCGTGTTGCTGTGCTGCTTGAAGCGTGGGGAGCGAGAGGCATGTCGTGTTGCTGTGCTGCTTGAAGCGTGGGGAGCGAGAGGCATGTCGTGTTGCTGTGCTGCTTGAAGCGTGGGGAGCGAGAGGCATGTCGTGTTGCTGTGCTGCTTGAAGCGTGGGGAGCGAGAGGCATGTCGTGTTGCTGTGCTGCTTGAAGCGTGGGGAGCGAGAGGCATGTCGTGTTGCTGTGCTGCTTGAAGCGTGGGGAGCGAGAGGCATGTCGTGTTGCTGTGCTGCTTGAAGCGTGGGGAGCGAGAGGCATGTCGTGTTGCTGTGCTGCTTGAAGCGTGGGGAGCGAGAGGCATGTCGTGTTGCTGTGCTGCTTGAAGCGTGGGGAGCGAGAGGCATGTCGTGTTGCTGTGCTGCTTGAAGCGTGGGGAGCGAGAGGCATGTCGTGTTGCTGTGCTGCTTGAAGCGTGGGGAGCGAGAGGCATGTCGTGTTGCTGTGCTGCTTGAAGCGTGGGGAGCGAGAGGCATGTCGTGTTGCTGTGCTGCTTGAAGCGTGGGGAGCGAGAGGCATGTCGTGTTGCTGTGCTGCTTGAAGCGTGGGGAGCGAGAGGCATGTCGTGTTGCTGTGCTGCTTGAAGCGTGGGGAGCGAGAGGCATGTCGTGTTGCTGTGCTGCTTGAAGCGTGGGGAGCGAGAGGCATGTCGTGTTGCTGTGCTGCTTGAAGCGTGGGGAGCGAGAGGCATGTCGTGTTGCTGTGCTGCTTGAAGCGTGGGGAGCGAGAGGCATGTCGTGTTGCTGTGCTGCTTGAAGCGTGGGGAGCGAGAGGCATGTCGTGTTGCTGTGCTGCTTGAAGCGTGGGGAGCGAGAGGCATGTCGTGTTGCTGTGCTGCTTGAAGCGTGGGGAGCGAGAGGCATGTCGTGTTGCTGTGCTGCTTGAAGCGTGGGGAGCGAGAGGCATGTCGTGTTGCTGTGCTGCTTGAAGCGTGGGGAGCGAGAGGCATGTCGTGTTGCTGTGCTGCTTGAAGCGTGGGGAGCGAGAGGCATGTCGTGTTGCTGTGCTGCTTGAAGCGTGGGGAGCGAGAGGCATGTCGTGTTGCTGTGCTGCTTGAAGCGTGGGGAGCGAGAGGCATGTCGTGTTGCTGTGCTGCTTGAAGCGTGGGGAGCGAGAGGCATGTCGTGTTGCTGTGCTGCTTGAAGCGTGGGGAGCGAGAGGCATGTCGTGTTGCTGTGCTGCTTGAAGCGTGGGGAGCGAGAGGCATGTCGTGTTGCTGTGCTGCTTGAAGCGTGGGGAGCGAGAGGCATGTCGTGTTGCTGTGCTGCTTGAAGCGTGGGGAGCGAGAGGCATGTCGTGTTGCTGTGCTGCTTGAAGCGTGGGGAGCGAGAGGCATGTCGTGTTGCTGTGCTGCTTGAAGCGTGGGGAGCGAGAGGCATGTCGTGTTGCTGTGCTGCTTGAAGCGTGGGGAGCGAGAGGCATGTCGTGTTGCTGTGCTGCTTGAAGCGTGGGGAGCGAGAGGCATGTCGTGTTGCTGTGCTGCTTGAAGCGTGGGGAGCGAGAGGCATGTCGTGTTGCTGTGCTGCTTGAAGCGTGGGGAGCGAGAGGCATGTCGTGTTGCTGTGCTGCTTGAAGCGTGGGGAGCGAGAGGCATGTCGTGTTGCTGTGCTGCTTGAAGCGTGGGGAGCGAGAGGCATGTCGTGTTGCTGTGCTGCTTGAAGCGTGGGGAGCGAGAGGCATGTCGTGTTGCTGTGCTGCTTGAAGCGTGGGGAGCGAGAGGCATGTCGTGTTGCTGTGCTGCTTGAAGCGTGGGGAGCGAGAGGCATGTCGTGTTGCTGTGCTGCTTGAAGCGTGGGGAGCGAGAGGCATGTCGTGTTGCTGTGCTGCTTGAAGCGTGGGGAGCGAGAGGCATGTCGTGTTGCTGTGCTGCTTGAAGCGTGGGGAGCGAGAGGCATGTCGTGTTGCTGTGCTGCTTGAAGCGTGGGGAGCGAGAGGCATGTCGTGTTGCTGTGCTGCTTGAAGCGTGGGGAGCGAGAGGCATGTCGTGTTGCTGTGCTGCTTGAAGCGTGGGGAGCGAGAGGCATGTCGTGTTGCTGTGCTGCTTGAAGCGTGGGGAGCGAGAGGCATGTCGTGTTGCTGTGCTGCTTGAAGCGTGGGGAGCGAGAGGCATGTCGTGTTGCTGTGCTGCTTGAAGCGTGGGGAGCGAGAGGCATGTCGTGTTGCTGTGCTGCTTGAAGCGTGGGGAGCGAGAGGCATGTCGTGTTGCTGTGCTGCTTGAAGCGTGGGGAGCGAGAGGCATGTCGTGTTGCTGTGCTGCTTGAAGCGTGGGGAGCGAGAGGCATGTCGTGTTGCTGTGCTGCTTGAAGCGTGGGGAGCGAGAGGCATGTCGTGTTGCTGTGCTGCTTGAAGCGTGGGGAGCGAGAGGCATGTCGTGTTGCTGTGCTGCTTGAAGCGTGGGGAGCGAGAGGCATGTCGTGTTGCTGTGCTGCTTGAAGCGTGGGGAGCGAGAGGCATGTCGTGTTGCTGTGCTGCTTGAAGCGTGGGGAGCGAGAGGCATGTCGTGTTGCTGTGCTGCTTGAAGCGTGGGGAGCGAGAGGCATGTCGTGTTGCTGTGCTGCTTGAAGCGTGGGGAGCGAGAGGCATGTCGTGTTGCTGTGCTGCTTGAAGCGTGGGGAGCGAGAGGCATGTCGTGTTGCTGTGCTGCTTGAAGCGTGGGGAGCGAGAGGCATGTCGTGTTGCTGTGCTGCTTGAAGCGTGGGGAGCGAGAGGCATGTCGTGTTGCTGTGCTGCTTGAAGCGTGGGGAGCGAGAGGCATGTCGTGTTGCTGTGCTGCTTGAAGCGTGGGGAGCGAGAGGCATGTCGTGTTGCTGTGCTGCTTGAAGCGTGGGGAGCGAGAGGCATGTCGTGTTGCTGTGCTGCTTGAAGCGTGGGGAGCGAGAGGCATGTCGTGTTGCTGTGCTGCTTGAAGCGTGGGGAGCGAGAGGCATGTCGTGTTGCTGTGCTGCTTGAAGCGTGGGGAGCGAGAGGCATGTCGTGTTGCTGTGCTGCTTGAAGCGTGGGGAGCGAGAGGCATGTCGTGTTGCTGTGCTGCTTGAAGCGTGGGGAGCGAGAGGCATGTCGTGTTGCTGTGCTGCTTGAAGCGTGGGGAGCGAGAGGCATGTCGTGTTGCTGTGCTGCTTGAAGCGTGGGGAGCGAGAGGCATGTCGTGTTGCTGTGCTGCTTGAAGCGTGGGGAGCGAGAGGCATGTCGTGTTGCTGTGCTGCTTGAAGCGTGGGGAGCGAGAGGCATGTCGTGTTGCTGTGCTGCTTGAAGCGTGGGGAGCGAGAGGCATGTCGTGTTGCTGTGCTGCTTGAAGCGTGGGGAGCGAGAGGCATGTCGTGTTGCTGTGCTGCTTGAAGCGTGGGGAGCGAGAGGCATGTCGTGTTGCTGTGCTGCTTGAAGCGTGGGGAGCGAGAGGCATGTCGTGTTGCTGTGCTGCTTGAAGCGTGGGGAGCGAGAGGCATGTCGTGTTGCTGTGCTGCTTGAAGCGTGGGGAGCGAGAGGCATGTCGTGTTGCTGTGCTGCTTGAAGCGTGGGGAGCGAGAGGCATGTCGTGTTGCTGTGCTGCTTGAAGCGTGGGGAGCGAGAGGCATGTCGTGTTGCTGTGCTGCTTGAAGCGTGGGGAGCGAGAGGCATGTCGTGTTGCTGTGCTGCTTGAAGCGTGGGGAGCGAGAGGCATGTCGTGTTGCTGTGCTGCTTGAAGCGTGGGGAGCGAGAGGCATGTCGTGTTGCTGTGCTGCTTGAAGCGTGGGGAGCGAGAGGCATGTCGTGTTGCTGTGCTGCTTGAAGCGTGGGGAGCGAGAGGCATGTCGTGTTGCTGTGCTGCTTGAAGCGTGGGGAGCGAGAGGCATGTCGTGTTGCTGTGCTGCTTGAAGCGTGGGGAGCGAGAGGCATGTCGTGTTGCTGTGCTGCTTGAAGCGTGG